ACGACACACACACACACACACACACACATATATATATGTATTTGTATATATATATATATATATTCATATATAATTACGCAAAATTGTTGATGCAAGTATTTGCGTTTATACCTGTGCCCATTATTGTTAAGGTTTCAGTTTGTTCTGCTAGCGCGTCCGCACCTGCATCGGTTTCATCTGTGTTCACGTCGGGGGTAGTGAGCTGCGGGACATCGCTGGGAGTGGTATCCTTCATGACTAGTAACAAGCTTGAGTTATTTGAAGACGTTCTGCTTGAATCTAAATTTTCAGGTATTTGATCGAGTGTTTGACTGTATATCCATCTGTATTCGACTTGATGTGAGTATGTATATATGTATGGCGAACACTGATGAACAATCGAACACAGCAGCCAAAAAGCTGATATTTAATCCAGGACAAATAAGTCTCATAGCCTTCCTCAATTAAATACCCGCCACTGTCACCAGCCTCTAAATAATGGTTAAAAAAAAAAACAAGGACAATTTTTTTGTTGTTGGTTTTTTTTTGGTTGGTGACTTGGTCCGAGTTGGTCATGGCCCCGTCACCGTACCGGCGTGCCCCGTGGACCCTAAATACATAGTCACTTCAAGTCAGTTTTGAGTATAGAAAGTCAGCCAGTTAATCCATGGTTTACCGGCAGTCCCACGCTATTGTATTTTCGATCAGTCAGCAGTCAATACATTAGTGTACAGGTAGTCACGTAGTCAGGTCTGTCAGGACCCCAGGCTATTGGGTGTTCAATCAGTCAGCTGGTCATCCCACAGGAGTCCAGGACCCAGAGTCTCATAGGGCTGCTGTCATAGGCCGTCTATTTTTGGAGTGGTCAACGTGGTTGGGTGAAAATTGAAGATATATATAACACAATCTACTGGTTAGTATCTCGATCATCGGAACCATCTAAAGGATAGTTAACTGAGTATTCGACTTACTGAGTGGACAAATAACAACACACATGTCGACAAGTTTTGGCGCGCAGTGTCAAACTGTCAGCGAGCGCACACTGCCACACAGACGCAGTCGCACAGTCTCACAGACGCAAGAGTACACGGCTGCATACTATTTAAAATGTGCATATGTTTATTTATAAATATGCCCTACAGACTTACATATATGCATACATACATATATACATAGTCAATAGTCCGTTCAGCCATATTTTCTTATTCCTTCTCTCTGGAGAGAGAGAGAGTCATGTGTATATTTATTATATTTGGTGTAAAAAAAAATACATCATACTATATAACACTCGGGTGTTTTTTTTGATGTCCCACTGCTACATACCACACGCAAGCCCGATCAACCTACACACAGGTAGAAAGTGATCGTATACAATAGTTCTATGCAGCACACACTATCACCAGAAGGGACTCTTGGCTAGTTTTCTACGGGCTTTGTATGGCATGCATCGAGAGAGACCACGTTTTGTGTATGGTCAGCGAATAATTTGAGCTCACCGGTGCGACGGGCTCATATTAGTCATCGAGTTTCCAATCAATGCAAAGTGCTCGTATCTATTAATAATGTCAAAGTGCACACACAATCAACAGACGACAATATCTATCGTTCTTACAGAGACCTTGTAGACCGTGAACTTCCCATCTACACACACACACACACATATATATATATATATATATATACATATATATATATATATATATNTGTATAATATATATAT